ATATATATATATATATATATATATATATATATATATACATTTTGAAATAACCAAAAATCATACATTACTATATTGATACCACAGAATTCCACTGTAATTTATCAAACTTAGTAACTAAACTGTATTTGGGTCTAAAAAAAATATGAAATTTTGAGCTCACTAACATCTTACATTACCACTTGGAATTTAGCAAGAAAAGAAAGAAATTGCTGTGCAAGTATTTTGCAGAGGCTAAGAAAATCAATAGGGGGACATTCTGAACTTTTGATTGGATATATACATGTCATTGGGTGAAGTAGGTGTACGAGAGCAAGTATTTTCAAAATTTGAAGAGGTGGGTGAGGTCACCTTGGTTGATTCAATAAATATATTAATATCTCAGAAAATAGAAAAGATAGGAGCTTCTAAATTATATTCTAGCTTGTCAATATCGGTAATTTGAGTTCCTAATTCATAAGCAATTATAGACTTTGTATTTGGACATTACAAACATCTAATTTGAACCAATGTTACATTCAACATACCATGTGACACACGAAAATTTATATCTAGGATTTTTTTTTATATTTACTTTTAAATTAAGAAATTAACTAATGTATAATACTAAAATTTGAATTAAAATCTACAATTTGATACCAAACTTAGTGCATACATTCATAAAATAGCAGTTCAATAACAATTTTGAATGCAAATCAACAAACGTGATGACATGACCTTTGATTCATGTCGGTAGGGTTAAATTGGCTGAAGTTTGGGAGATTTTATTAGGTTTACTGCTGAAATTATTGTTAATAGTGAGAGCTTTCAACTGATTGTTCAATACATTATGATAATTACAGTTTTTTAGCATGGCCAGGTGGTTAGTGCACACGACTCCCAATCTGCAGGTTCAAATCCCCATCCCACCAAACATGCTCGCCCTTTCAGCCATGGGGCATTATAATGTAAAAGAGTATCCCAAGAGTTGGCAGTGGGTAGTGACAACTAGCTGCCTTCCCTCTAGTCTTTCACTGCTAAATTAGGGTCGGCTAGGTGCAGATAGCCCTCGTGTAGATTTGAGCGAACTTCCAAACAAACAAAACCAGTTTTTAGCTCTGTTGTTTAGTGATATATGATATTATGTGCTTCTGCTAAGTTTGTTATATAGAATTAACTTCATTAACTTAAGTTTGTTTTTGTTCTGACCTATAGAGTTAGCTTACAGAAAAATATACTTAAACAGGTTCTGTATGAATAAAATTGTTAATAGATAAACAATCCCATGGAAGGAGTTAAGGAGTTTATCACATCAACAGTTTGAGTTTTGATCTTTTATGAGCAGTCTAAATGTATAAAATTTACTTGAGCATACAGATTTGAATAACAGCAATGAAACAGGGCAAGTATAGCATACATCCATCAAACTGCACATATATTATGATTCTGAAAAACTTGCTTTCTTATGTTGTTGCTCCCTGAATTTGTATTTTCAGGTATTTGTTCTTACATGTAACAATATTTTGGCATTCCCTAATGATTATGAGCAGTGTATAGAATAATAAAGATAAATTAAGTCAACTTGTAATGATATTCATACTAGTTGAAGAATAAAACAAAAGTCAGTATCAGAAGAAAAAAAATGATCAAAAATTAAAGAAAAATTGACAAATATGTGGAAGACTGTATAAAACATTGACTTCTCAGACCATTATTATTCAAGATAACATTTGGAATTCCTGTCAAAATCTCAATATTAGGCTCAAAGCTGTTAAAGACATAGTACAACTTACAAGATGACAAGATAGTTACAGTACAGAAAAAGTTCTGAAGAACTCATTCTCACAAGATTATGAGATGTGGATAGACAAAATAAAATACCAATAGACAATATGGATTGGTTACATTATCAGCTTATATATTTGAAAGGAAGACAACTCAGGTCTCTGTTGGTTAGTTTCTATGAATTTGAACCAAGTATGACTTCTCATACCACAAATATGCCACTTGGAGCATTGGCTACTCAAACTTCAACAGTCATGCTTCACATATCAAGCAATACCTTACAAATACTCCACTCAATAATCCAAGGTGTTAAATGCAAGCCAAATTTATAGCCCTCAGAAACTACAGAGTTACAGTTTTGGGGGACTTTTCTCTTAAGTTCTTAACAACATAAATTCATAGTAGCAGACACCTCTGCAAACAATGGGCTTAGTGTAATGAGACTTTTGCTCAATTAAGTCAAGGCACATAAAAGAATAACTATTTCAATAAATAAACAATACCTCATCTCTAAAGTTATACAGCAGTACTCTAACGAACTTGACTATTATGTCACCTTTAATTAAAGTCTCTCAAAAGACAATAACTGTGTCCATTTATAAGTATTTCTTCAAAATCTGTGATGGTAACAGAAAACCGTGTAAAAACAAACACATTAGACTAAAATACTTTAATTCGTAAAGGATATTATACCATAGTATCATAAGCAAAAGTGAATTTGTGTGTTGCCCAATTATAATATGCTGGTATTCAGGTAGATATGCAAATTTCCTTTAACCGTAACTTTAACTAAAATGAAGTAAAATTTAGTTAAGAAATGTAGTAAAGTTACGGGTATTTAATTATGGTTTAGTGTAATTAATACAGAACACTGAAGTCTAGCTTATCATTGTTTTACAGCATTTTAGAAGACATTATAATTTAGATCTGACCAATATTATGAAAACCGATTAAAGATGCTTGTAACTTTCAATCACAATGGAGATCAGAAGTGACAAAATTTACTATCTTGGACATTTTTCCCATAAGAGAATTAATTTTTGTATGCTTTATATTTCATTTGTTGGTAGATATCCTAATAAAGTTTGTTTAATGTAGACTAGATGTAAAGAATGGAAATAATTGTATAAACGTTCATTTCTAATAGGAATGTTTTGATTTAACTTTCAACAGTTATTATACCTTTGCTTTTAGTTCTTCCCAGTTTGAGACAATTTCAGCATGTTTGGACTGAATTTCATCAGCATGATCTTCATGGTTGGTACACAGTCTATCAGCTTCTTGTCCCAGGGTTAGAACCTGTACTTAGTAAAAAAAAACAGACTGGGGATAAATATATGCAAAAATCAAACTACGTTTATATTAATATACTTGAAACTCCAACAAACAAACTAAAATGTTAATCACAAGAAATTATAATATATAACTGTTTCATGATCATTAGATTGAACAGTTTCCATAACAACACACTGCAAACTTCCAAGTCTCAGTATTGTAATATAGGATTTGTAATTATTTTTGAACATCTATAAAAATTACAAATAGGTTAAAAATTTCTCTTGAAATTTTCTTTGAATTTATTACACTTAAACAAAACAAATTTAATATCATTTAGTAATAAAATAATCCAAAACTATCAAAAGATATGAACATTAAGTTAATGCACTTCACAATCCTTGTGGTATAAAATTTTGAATTACTACTGCACTAAATTAATAAGTAATTTAACAAATGACTAACTAAATAGACACAACCTCATCTTAATTCACTAGTCAACCTTGAGTATTCAGACAATTTTTAATATTATAGTCATACATAAGTTTTGTACAGAAATGCAATTCATGATCATAACTAAAGTTATACTCAAGCTATGTAACTATGAAATGGTGGCCATACAAGTATATACGAATACTTTTGTATAAAAGTCAAAATATCAAATCTGACCTTGTCTTCTAGAGCAGCCAAATCTCTTTCCATTCCCTCATGTTTTCTCTGAAGAGCTTGAACACTAACAAGGTCCTTTCCATAATCATCAGAGGAAAGGACCAGATCTTTTTCAGTAATCCATGCAATTGTTTCATCAGCATCTCTAGAAAAGTAAAGAACAATATAATGAGTGATTATTAGAAACACATATCTAGGGAATATTATCCTTGTTAATTGAATAGTCCAGAAAACAAGAACATTTTTTAAACATTCAATGTATGATAGTTAAAATAATTGTTACATAACATCTTATAATAAATACCACATTAAGAAACTAAAAAATAATTTAACTTGATTAAAAACTAAATGCCATTACTTGATATAAAATTTCATTCACCTTCAAAATAACCATGGATTAACAATTTTGGATTCATTTTCCTTTCATAAAATACAGGCAGACTGCAAAATTGTTATTGAGATAAATTCTCCATGAATAGTACATAAAATAAAGAAATAGCAGGTGAAAAGCTTATAATATTTCATGTCTATTAAAAAGCTTTACTAATAACTATAAATAATTATGATAAATAAATAAAGGGTATATATTAAAAATTTTGAGAGGGTATAATTCTCAGATTTCTGTTAAAAGGCCTTATTTAATGTTATTGCAATCTTTACGATTTTTCTTAAACTTTCATTCATACAGTACCTGTTAAAACGTTGAATTTCATGAGCTCCAAAAAGTTTCTCTTGTCTTAATAAAGTCAATGCTTTAAGTCTTTCCCAGGTTTCATTCAGTTCCTTGAATATACACACAATATACAAGTATGTATTTTTAAATATAAATATAAAAGCAAAGACACACTTCTTGGTCATTACAAAATAGTGTGCTATCCTTGAAATTGTGATAGCTCTTCAAGTTAAAAAAGGCATTAAATGGATTTTTAGTTTTAGAAGTCTAAAATAGATCAAGAACCCTACACAATTCCATTTTTAATAATCAATGAATAAAAAAAACTGAACCATGTGGCTTTTGAAATATGTAGCACAACCTTTCCTCAGTAAGAAAAATAATGGATTCAAATTCTGCCTGAATTCAGTTTTTGGTTCTTCAGAAAAATTCCCATGTCACAGTATAGTGTACCACCTTTAAAATTTCTATTTTATTGCAATGGGCCCATTAACTAATTTAAGGTGCAAAACAATTAATTAGTTAACCTCTCCCTAAAGAAGATTATCATAGTAAGTAAAGTATTATTTATTTCAGAATGAACAGAAGAAGATAATATGAATAAAATGTATGCAATTCACAGAAAAAGTCCTGGAAACTGGTATGGATTCTGCAACTCACCACTCCCCCTGTCAACAACAACAAAAACTTCACCATATAGTAATATAAGTAAATTTAGGTATGTGAATAATGTTATAGCATTTCGTCAAATTCACTATTTGATATTATACAGCAGATCAACTGTTTAATGATTGTGTATGTATGTATGTATGTATGTATGTATGTATGTATGTATGTATGTGTGTGTGTGTGTGTGTGTGTGTGTGTGTGTGTGTGTGTCTGTGTCTATATATACATGTTAAAGATTCCTTATCTTTGCTCTGGACTGCAGTCAAATAATTGTCATAAAAAATGAATGTATTTACTGCACCATTTTGTAATTATGTAAAAATTTAACACTAAAGAAATTTATAAACATATAAAAAATTGTTTTTTTGAACACCAATTGATAATACTATATATACAATACTAAAACACACACAAGTTTCCAGCCATGAATATATATATACATACACACACACACACGTGTATATAGATAATCTTTCAACTCAAGCTATTTTTAGTTGGTTATAACACCGAGTGCTTTTCAATGGTAAACAATTACTTAACACAGTATGCTTTTGAAGTGGGAAAAAATAATTTTCAAGTGGTCAATAATAACACACTATTCACATTTATATTTTCTCTGTTATACATGAGCCTACCTTAATAAAGAAGGTAACAGAAACAGTTTTCCTTTGGTGCGATATTACAGAGATTCTATATTTACTAAGTTACTTCCATTATTAACAATAAATAAAGTATTAAAATGAGCTATTCATATCAAATCTAATGGGCTGATTTTACAGAATGAATCTTATTGAAACAATCTGTTAAGACTACAGTAATACATTAATTTGTCAGCTGTCTGCATTTCTTTGGATTTCATGGTTTTAACTGAACATACCACTTTTTTCTTTTGAATTACTTCTGCTTCTGGATGTCCTTCAATAATCAGCTTATTACCAAGTTCGTTGACCTCAGTCACTCTGAATTCCTCATTTGCCATGTCCTAAAGAGATCAAACATGCTTAGCCACACCAAATATGTAGTTAAATTTACTACGCACAGAGTCTTTTCTGTGGTATTCCTTCTTTAAAGAAATAATGACACCCAAGTAAGCTACACCCAGATAACAACAGGTATGAAGACATGGTTGAATGGAAATGATAAAAATAAAAAGTGCACAAAAGAAGAAACAAACAAATTTAATAGATAAAAATAAGTAAAAATTTTAGGAAAATAAAGAGAACTGCAAGTTTCTCAAATATTTCATTTATTACATAATAAGTTAAATATTTGTGAAACAAACAATTGTCTTTGTTTTCCTCAATTTTGTAATTATGAAGTTTCACTAAGTATCAAGAGTTTCAAGTCAAAATTATAAAAGATAAATACTGTGGAAGATGGAATTAAGATATCACAATGCACAGTCTATTGTTAATGCTGATTGTGCATCTTTTTCTGTGGGATAAAGTACTTCTGAAAATTTTGAATCGATAATTAGTGCTAAATGGGGTTTCAAGTATATGATAAACATCATTAATAATGTAAGTAAAGCAGCTATATTTTTAATAGAAATTTTGAACTTAGAAATCAATATAACATATAAATCACCCAAGTGCAAGAAATAATACAAATATAGATAGGGTCTATGTGATCAAGAAAACACTTTTTGTTATCTGAAATATGTGTATTAAATTTTGTGAAAGGTAAATCAATTGATGACAGTTACTGCAATTATCACTCACTGATTATTTTAAAACTTCAATTTGATGAGTTTGTTCATGAAAGAGGAATTTGGAAATTCATTAACTTTTTGCTTAAAGAAGAATATTTTGTAAATAGAGTTAAAATAAAAGGGGTAACTGAACAATATATAAGTAATGACAGTATTCTATCAATCAAATCTTAATTAGTTTCCTAATAGTTGAAATAAAAATGAAATTAATGTATAACAATGTACAATCTGCATGTACAAAAAAATAATAACTTTTTTTGTGTTTATTTATATTTTGTGTCTGCTTTAGTGGAGTAAAGCGTTTATTAAAATAAAGAGACTTGAATATAAAAACAAGTATGCAAAATAAATTAAGGGTAAAATAAAAAGTTTAAACGTATTCTTTTAATTGTAAAAGATTATGAGGTAAACGAAAATGGAGATATATTTAACTATATTAGAGGGAAAGATCACCATAAGTATTGTCTACAAGATGTTAATTTTCCTGAAAATGTTGAATGAATACTAAAAACTGAATGGGGTTTTGAATGCATTATAAACAGCATTAATAGTAACAATAAAGAAGTAACTATATTTTTTCAGAACAATTTTGAATTTAAAATTAAAAAACTAAGAAAGAATTTAAAGAGCAACATTATTGTACTGGATTTTATACTTGTGTTACCATAACTGATTCAGGAAACTCAAAAGGTTTTATAAAAGGTAGTTAGGTTTATTGGAGAAATATTACAACTGTATATGAAATTGCAAGTTTTATTTTAAAAAACATTATATCAGGACTCTTACTATTATTAGACTTTGAAAAGGCTTTACACTCTCTTGAACATTTTTAAATAATTATAGATATATATTCAATAATATAATACAATCTACTATTATCCAATATGGTTTCTGAGTGACTTTTTTCAAATAAAAAAGGATGGGGACATGAAGATCCTCTTTCTATGTATCTGTTTACTTCAGTGACTGAAATAATAAGAATACATGAAATAAATAAATCAAATATACAAGGAGTAAAGATAAATATTAATTTTGATATTTCTCAGTGTTCAGACAAAAGAATGATTTGAGATGGAACTAAGATATTCTTATTAACCACTTTAAATGTACAGTGTACTAAAAAATGTTTGGTAGTTGGTCAGATTTGAAATTAAGTTAGGAAACATTTAAAATAATTTAGATCAGTAGAAATAGAAATGATTTATTTGTTTTAAATAGTGGTAAGAAAATAAATTTAGTAAATTCTTTTCACTATTTAGTTATTGAATTTTAAAGAGGTTTATGTTCTATAAGGGATATAAATTATGATCTTGAAATAACTAAAATATTAAAAGTTTTCAGCATTAGGAGGAAATGAAAATTAGCTTATCCTTACTAAAATTACCATTGTTAAAAATATTACAAAATTCTTTTCATTGTGGAGTTTACCAAATACATCCTCAGTGATTATGAAAAATATAAATAATATGCTTTATAAATTTATATGGGCTAATAAACCAGATATATTATCTAGAAAATTTATTATTCAAAGATATGAAAATTGGGGGCTAAAGATGATAGAGGTAGTATCTTTCATTAAAGCAATTAGAATTACATGGATATATAAATTATTGAAAAACGATAAAATTTTACCATTATTTTCTGAAAATTGAAATTCAGACATATAAGATAACACAATATGATAGTAAGAAAATATGAATTATCAGAAGTAGTATTCAAAATATCTTTTTGAAAAATGTTTTGTAGGTTGGGCAGATTTTATGGATAATATAAATAGTAAAGAAATAAATAATTTTATCATGGAACCATTAAGGTATAAAACAAAAATTAGAAAATTTTATTCTTCATTCTTGTAGGAAATATAGAATGTATTTCATAAATGATCTTATTTCAGATAAAGGATACTTCTTTAATTATTTTGTGTAAATCTGATGCTTAAGTTGCTGAATATCATGGAATTGCAAACATAATTAAGAAATACATTAATAATAACCATGATACACAAAATAAAATAGTTAAATTAGATTATCCTCTGATGCCAAAAGACAAAAAAAAAAAAAAAAAATAATAAATTAAAAAAAAAAAAGGTTAAAAAAAAAAAAGGTTA